GCACTTCAATACAATGCCAGTGCACTGGTTGCCGGCTTATCGAATTGTCGTGCTGCCCAATGCACGAACACAGCTCAGTCAAAACCGTCTAACCTATAGCTGAGCGCTTTTGACACACCCACTCCTTTCCACAGGCCCAGTACTTTCCTTTCAACACACCCACTCCTTTCCACAGGCCCAGTACTTTCCTTTCAACACACCCACTCCTTTCCACATGCCCACTACTTTCCTTTCGACACACTCACTCGCCCATGCTCCGATCACTATATTGGGATGCAGCTACCCCCTTCTCTCCATTTTTTAAGACATTTATTTTAATTGTTACAGCGTCCACTACAGTATCTGGTTAATATCATGTATAATCTGTGATGGCACCAAAAAATATCTAAGGATCATGGTGAAAGTGGCCTTCGTTAGCAAAGGATCATGGTCGATGTAGTTGTTTTCATCCTGCCTGCGAGCCAACCCAACTGGCGAGCCTCCTAGCCTGCCGGCATGTGATTGGTCTGTGTAGGCACGTGGTCCTGTGTGATGACAAATGTAGTAGTCAGACCGTATCACGATTTAATTAAATATCTCGGTTTGTAGCGAACTTTAAAATAATTCACCATGGGGATCTAACTTGATCATAATAAACTAATTTTAGAGCCCAAAACGGGCGATCGTAATTTACATAGGCTTTCCAGGGCAGACCAAGGCATTTGGCACCGCTAGGTTGCTATGCAGTAGCCGACCACTGAGGTATAATAAGAATTGGAGACTGCATCCAAGATGTCCGCCTGTTGTTTTCAAGATAATCTACTCACGTTCACATACGCTGATTCATGGACTATCTACATCCGGGTTGCATCCGGTTTATGCGGGCCCAACATCACATGCGCACTAGCACCAAAGACAGTACAGTATGAAGATGGGCAGAAACATATTCTCCAATAGAAATCCCTGATCACACTTGTAGCCGATGTGACGTTTGCTAGCTAAGCTCATGCGCAGAAGCATGTCATTGGGTCTAACGGTCGTCTTGCACTGCGCGTGTGCAGGCTGTCAAAACAAAGGCACGCCTTCGATATCAAGTTGTTTTGATGAAAATGAAAACGTGTTAGTTTGTCATTTCCACAAGGTTGAAGTAATAATGTTCAACTACTTAAAACATTGTCTCGAATCTAGGTTGTGCCTTTAGATTTCGAGAAACTTAACAACTAAGGAAGAATGTTTCATTTCTCTCATTGACTTCTCTAACCCCAAACCCCAGCCTGGTCTGCTTCGCAAACGTTCCCGGAAGTCTCGTGATGTTGCGCCTCTGGGTTTAGAAACTCTGTGCTAGCACTCAGTGCTCACACGGAGCAGTGCGAGCAGTGACGACATCATCACGTCAGCCACAAACATGGCAGACATTGGATTAATACAAAATGTTAATATCTTCAGCTGTGAGTGATGAAAAAAAATCTGCCTCTGCGACAATTATTTGAATAATTAAATGGATGTTTTGTGCACAAAGGTGATGACTAAAGTGTTTTATTTGGAATTTTGGAATCTGACTTCTCTTTGTGGCAGTGTATGGAAATTGCCTTTCTGGGCCGGGTGTCATTTAAACTGCAGTACCAAATCAAAACTGTAGGAGCAGTCGAAACCGTGCTTCTAGACTGGAACCCTGGCCCCTTGTCGCCGCCCAATGATTTATGTATACACTAGATGACCAATGAGGGTGCTGTGTTGAAGCCACTGTGCCTCCATCTTGGCACTCCCCCACATTGTAAAAAATATTTAGGAAACTATAGAAATGCATGTATTAATGTCTACATTCGTTTTTGCCACATTTATTCCATTACAGACATCATAATGCATACTTTAAAAGTATATTATGTGAGCTAAACATAAAAAAAAAAAATGAAAATATATATACAAACATTTTCCTTAAAGTTTTTATTAGATTACTAATGTTACTGTCTCCACTACAACAACAAAAATACTTCTACATGTAATTTTGTCCTTGAAACATTGGGATAGAAATAATGTAAAATTCCATTCCTACTAGGGAGTGCCAATATGGCCGACCTGTGGCTTCAAAGCCTCTCAATGGCCAATACATATCATCAGCATTCCAGGGTTTATATACATCATTGTAACTGACCAGCAGAGCTCATGACTTCACTCTCCAGACAGGACACTGGGGAGTGAGGGGGTTAGATTAATCTCGGCCGGGCGCCCGTGTAGGCTGAAAGTTAATGGTCGTGTTCGAGAGCATCAAAACGACTGCAGGCGACTGCTGACTGACTGATCTACAAATCACCACGGCCGGCCCGCTCATTATGCAGGATATGACAATTTCTCAATGACAATTTCTCTCAACCAGTGGCATATGGGCTTTTTAGGTGAGCGCTGATGACGCCCTGTGATAAACAGTGCCCACTTTGTCAAAAGCAGGGGTGCAAAATATGTTGCTTGTCCATTCCCACTGCGCCTCAACAGGGTGCTGTTGGAGAGATGCATCCCTGTGGTACTCCACCAACGTTCAGTGAAAAATTATCTAACATAAATCATGTAGCAGATATAGGATATGGTAGAAAGAGTATGTGGCCTTTTCTGTAGACTACAGGCTGGAGATAAAATGTATGACAATGTAATGAGACGGACACTTTTTACATTATGGAGGTTTCTCCTGATCAAATAGCCTAACCTAAATGGCGCCCAATCAAATAAAAAATGCTTTGTCATGTTAACAAACAACATATCCTAAAAACAGGACAGGTCAAAGTAAAATGGACAATATGGAATGGACAATCCCAACTGTTGTCCAGGAGTTTCACCCCCATTGTCATGATCAACGGTTTCAAGTTTGTATCCGTCAATACTTCTGAATTTCCTGCTGTGTAAACACATTGCAAATAGGCTCACGATAACTCCTGATGAAGTTGGGTAGCTGATATTCAGAGCTTAAATAGACAAATTGATTAGTCATCAGGACTAATAAAGCCAATGCAACAGCCTGTTTTAAAAATGGTGGGCCTACCACATGGATGGGCATTCATCCAATTTCATTGTGGCAGACATGGTAGGCTACACCACAGTAAGCATGAGCCGATGTCTTTTGGACTTATTTTTTTGGTCCTTGATTTCCACATCCACAGACATTGGTTTTCAGTCCGGTCTGGATAAAATCTGAACCAATCATAGACGTCTATGTTTGGTTCAGATTTGGTGCGGTCCAGACCGGCATTAATTTCAATGTCCACGGGTACAGATTTTTGGTCCGGTCCGGATCAACTCTGAAGCAATCATAGACGTCATTCAGAACCGAAAATGAACCTGATTTGAACATCCGGAAAATACGTATTTTTCAACGTCCTGGAAATATATATATTTTAAATGTACAGAAAATACATATTTTCAACTTTCATTCAGAACATAAATTTAACCTGATTTCAACGTCCAGAAAATACATATGACAGAGCCAGGTGCCCCGCTTTGTCAGACGAGAAGTAGTAGGATTCTGTGTTTTCCCATGTAAAAGTGATTGCTTTTGATAAAAACGCTTTATCTGCCTTCCCAATGAAAACTATTTAGAAAATGTAATCATTTACTTTATGGAGAAGAGATGTTGTAGGTTTCTAGACGATGCAACATGGTGCCTTGTTAACAAAATTATTGAGCGGCACAGATTACTGTGACAGGGGAAAGATGGCGGAAGTGGATGAACAATTGTTGGGATGCGTTTGTTGAGTAAGGATGCATATGTGGGAGACCCCTTTGAGGTGTCAAATGGTGAAGTATGTGCTGGGAGTCTGTCAGAGTGACCAGGAGTGGTCTTATTTTGATAAATTGTATTTCTGAAGAACAGAGGAAGATTGCAGTGAGCCTCAAAAGAATCCAGACAACAGAAGTTTTGTGTTTTGAACTTCGGCGTAGAGCCCCAGTCAAAGGAGTCATCTCAGGGGTGACGACGGATGTTTCGGTTGAATCCCTGAAGAGAATTCCTGGTGTGATTGGTCTGACCCGCTGGGTGAATGGAGAAAAAGAAGAAAGTCTGTCAGTCTTATTGTTTTTTGATAAAGAGCAAATACTTACGCATGTGAAGCTTGGTTATGTAATATACGCTGTAAGAGCTTTCGCTCCCAAACCATTGCAGTGTAAGAATTGTAAAGGATTTGGCCATGTTACAAGTGTGTGCAGACAGACAGAGTATATTGAAGAACCATGTGTAGAAGGACGACGGTGTTGCAATTGTGGTGGGGATCATGACCCCGAGTTCCTGGAGTGCCCTGTAAGGGTGAAGGAGATTGAGGTGGCAAACGTTAGAGCGGTCAATCGAATCTCCTATGCGGAGGCGATTTAAAAGAAACTGTATGGCACAAGTCTCAAATAAATCTAAGAAACTGGACATTATTGTGGCTGCTGCAGAAAAGTTTTTGGGACTTAAGGATTTTACGTCTGAAGACTTGCAAGGGGTACTGGCGTCGGAAGACCTGCCCTCCCAGGTTCTCATTGAGCGTGTGTAGGGATCAGATCTGTTTTATAAATGTTTACAGAAAAGTTGTTTGGTTTAGTTTATTTATAAATGTTTTGGTAGTTTGGTGGTTGTTTTGGTATTTTGTTCCATTTTGGGGGATCCTGTTTCCATCCCGCACAGTAGGTGACGGAATACACATGAAATTGTGCGACCGCCAATATACCATAGAAGAAGATTACCGTTCAATGTGAGAGGGCCTCCCTTCCTGCTTAAACCCGGTGCACCGCGTCTCAGCATAATCGAATCCGCTCATTGTGTGTGTGTGTGTGTGTGTGTGTGTGTGTGTGTGTGTGTGTGTGTGTGTGTGTGTATGTGTGTGTATGTGGACTAGCGAGAGAGCGCACAGGATGGCCCTCCTCATCAGGTTAGATTAATTTACACCGCGTTGAAATTTGCTAAACACATCAAATTAATAGGGGAGCTCTAGCTGAGAATTGTTTCTCGGTATTGACTTTTATGACGTGAACATCCTGCGGGTTGTCGGACAAGGAAGATGTCAGATCCCACGGTGGCTGATACTCGCCGGTTAAATTCAAAACCTCAGGACCTGACGGACGCTTATGGTCCCCCCAGCAATTTTCTTGAAATTGACGTTTATGACCCACAAACTGTTGGAGTCGGGCGGAACCGTTTCACAACGTACGAAGTCCGTATGCGGGTAGGTTACTATAGCTAGATATCTGTCGTTCAGCTAACTAGCTAACCTTAGCTGGATGAAAATCGAGGCCCAGGACTTGGTCCGGCCGACTAGCTAGTTAGCTTTGTGAGCTAAGGAAGTGGTTAAAATTGCATGTGAGGTAGCCTTTTTAAGCTAAAACGGGTTAGCTAGCGTTTACTTGTTGGCTGTTTCTATTGACGAGAATATATAATATACTTGTTTCTGTTTTCAAAAAATGCAGACAAACCTGCCGATTTTTAAGTTGAAGGATTCTATTGTGCGAAGAAGATACAGTGACTTTGAGTGGCTGAAGAATGAGTTGGAGCGAGACAGTAAGGTGAGTGAAAGATTGTAGCTCTGATTAATCAGACTGTGATACACAATTTAATTTGAGGGGTGCCCTCCACCAATTCTGTTTTTAGCTCTCGCCATAGGTTATGGATGTGATTCAGATCTGGACTCTTTGCTGACCAGTCCAGCTTTTCTTCCTGAATCATTCCAGGGTTCTTGTGATATGTATGTAAGTCGCTCTGGATAAGAGCGTCTGCTAAATGAGTAAAATGTTTAAATGTGTGTTTGGGTGGTTGTCCTGCTGGAAGACCCACAACCTTCAACAGAGACACTGGGTTTTTGGACACTGGGTTGAACGTTGGACATTGCACTCCAAAACACATTGATAATCTGATGATTTCATGATGCCCCCATGTTTGATTGTAGGGAGGGTGTTCTTTTCTTTGAATGGTTCATTTGGTCTATGGTAAACATAGGAAGACCCCACTGCTGAAGGAGTCACAAGGAAGCCTGACTGAAAAAAATAAAATAAACAAGCCTAAATCCTGGGGGCAATGTTCTGTGGACCAATTAAACAAAATTACAGCTCTTTGACAATACAGATCAGCGCTGTGTTAACTGATGACCAAATGAAGCATTCCATTTAAAGAATGCCCTCACAATCAAACATGGGGGAGGTTTGATAATGCTGTGGGGTTGTTTTGCTATCTGGTACTGGGGGCCTTAAGCGTGTGCAAGGCATAATGAAATCAGCAGATTATCAGGTGTTGTGAAGTCCAATGTTCAACCCAGTGTCCAAAAACTGGGTTGTGGGTCTTCCAGCAGGACAATGACCCAAAACACACATAAAAAAACACCCAGGAATGGTTCAAGAAGAGATGCTGGACTCTTCTGGAGTGGCCAATGATAGCTATGGAATTTAGGCTTACGAGTGTTTTAACAATGTATATTTTCTGCAACGGCTGAATATGTAACATGCGTTTCCCAAAACACCACGCAGAGAAAAGGTTCACTACGTGCGTCGTTGAGGCATTTGTTGATACTGATAGGATCAAAAGAAGGCCAGCTCTGCTCTCAAATCAGCTTTCTCCATTCAACTATTTCCTTAACATTATAATTGTTCCACAATACTGATGATGGATCAGCTCCTAGGGTCCAATTCAGACTTAAGAAATGTACACCTTTCCTACGCACTTCTCAGTAGTTGGTATTCATACTTACCTTATGCAGGTGCTTTATGGGCTTTGCAGGCGTGGTTGTCTTGCGCGCGATGAGTACATAAAATTCAACCGCTGAAAACCTTCCCACTTTCTGGCCAACAGATTCTCATGGAGTTCATTCAATAGAGTTTTCAGTACATTAAAGCCATCCTTTCAATTTGGTGATCCTTTAATTATAATTTTCTCGACAGACTGACTACTATATGGAGCGAACGGCTCAGAATATTAGGGATCAATGAAAGAAAGCTATGTAAATGCATGCATATTAGTCTCCTTTTCAACACCAATTGGTAGGTAAAAATATACTAAAATCTTGTATATTATTTAGGGTTAGGAAGTATTTGAATGAATAATAAAAAAAACTGTTTTGGAGAGCCTTTACGCACTAAATATATTGGTGAATAAAAAATAGTGGTTTGATTCATCCTGAAAGTTGACGTATTCAATTGTTCAATCATGACGTAATGAGAGGTGAGAAAAGTACAGTATGGGTTGAACAGTAGTCCTATAAATCTACCCTAATAATCTTCATTAGTAATGGAACTGTGATGACAACGGTCCAGTTGTTGTGAACCGTACTCCAGACTCCAGGTTTAAACTGTTACGTATGGCTTGCGTTCCATAATGATTCAGATAGCTAAATTGTCCCATATTATTGCACAACTTGTAATACTTTAGCCTAATATGATCCACTATTGCTATCGGTCCTCAGGAACAACCACACGAACGTGATGGAGGAAAGAAAGGTAAACTAACGATGTAATGGAATGATGCAAAATGTAAGGAAACTAACGCTAAAGTTGGGACAGTTATAAATGTATATGGGTATAACCAATGTTCCCTCAACATTTTTTTGTAGCACAGAGCAAATTTTACATCTTGTGAGCGGAAACTTGAACATTGTGAGAATTTTGTGCAACCTCCAGCACGTGTTTACAGTGAACACTGAGATTGTACCCTTACAGTTTTAGACAGTAGCCAATAGGCTATTGTGGCTATTTGAGCATAATGTAGGCCTACCAACAAAACCAATGGAGCAAATCCCATAACACTTTCACATGGAAATAGCTTTTGATTTCTATGGCCTACAGAAGCCTATATGTGGTGTTCAATGCAGGCCTACATTGCATGAGACTTTAAAAAAAATGTTTTTACATTATGAAGGGCTTGACATGAATTAATGATTTTTTACTTGGTCTGGAACACCATGGGCCAAATAGGTGACTGTAAATTGCATTGTATTGTGTTGTATGATGCAAGAAACCACTACAAAATAAAATGAATTATTACTATACAGAGAATTAGAATGTAGGCTACCCCTCTGCCTATTGGCTTATTTGCATATTCAAGCCTGTCTGAAAATACAACACTGCCCCTTTAATTAAGACATTAAGCTTTTTACCTGACTGGCTTTTCAAAGACAGCTTGAAATGTAGCCTACATGTTTTTTGCTCTTGTAGGAAGCAGTAACTCCCCATTGCTGACCTATACTTATCTATAACTGGGATAATAACTCGCTAACTAGCAAAGAATATCAACAAATGTGCACACGCGCGGCTCTGCACTCTTGATCTGAACTGATCTGAAAAGCGCATTCACTAGTGGGTTATTGAAAGGCCGCTCGTGGGCTACCCCCGCCAATAGAATTCTTCTCCGTTGTGCTCTGGCTCTGCCAACAACAAAATCAGACTCAATCTTGCAAAGTAAGGTTTGGTTTGTTGCACTGAAAAGGGGCTGATATGATGTTTCAATCACAGAAAAAACTATTGCAAACTAATCTCTTGCGTCTCTGCGCGGCATGGCATTTCTTCTGCGCGGCAATCCTGGAGGACGTTGGGTATAGCGGACGGTGGCTACCGATTTTAGACTTGGACTGTATCCAGATGTTCATACTGTCCTTCTCTCATCCTGGGATTTACAGTATTACCGGCATAGCACACAAGGGGGTGCTAAAAATGCAAGAAAAGCCCATTGGGCCTCTAATACCAGAATGCTAACAAAATTAGCACAAACTAATAGTGAAATCACATAGACGCTGTTGGCTAAATGCTAACGTGTGAAAACGAACAAATCAGCTCATAAAGTTACACAAGCCTAGCTAGTAGCTACCAAATGTCATTTTTGGTGAGTGTGGACATTTACAAGCGAAAGTGAATGAGATAAATTGTGCAAATGAACAAAGTTGTGATGTATGCTTTTATGAAGGAAGAGCAGCATGTGTACACGGAGCAGAGGGGAGAAGAACGGAGTAGGGGAAAAATGCTAGTAGGAAGCACAGGGGAAAATGGCAACTACTGATAACTTATCCAGAGCCCTTTGACTACTGGCAGAAAGACCATTCTAAGATATCTGATGGCAAACATTTAGTAGTGAATTGCATACAAGTGTGACTTCATCACCCCATGTGCGGGGCAGAACAGAGACTCGCCGATGGATATAGAACGCTATGGACTCACCAGCTCCCACTTTCTCCCGTTGTGCTATTTACAAACGTGACTGGCTCAACTGTTCTTGAGAACTACGGTAAGCTTCATTATGTAAAATAATTTGATAAGTGAAATGAAGAACGCAATCTGCTTTTTCTCCTAAGGTATTGCACAAGTTGACTGCAGGTATTAACTTAAAGTATACAAATATAAACGCAACATGCAACAATTTCAACGATTTTACTGAGTTACAGTTCATATAAAGAAATCAGTCAATTGAAATAAATACATTAGGCCCAAATCTATGGATTTCACATGACTGGGCAGGGGCACAGCCATGGGTGGGCCTGGGAGGGCATAGGCCCACCCACTTGGGAGCCAGGCCCAGCCAATTGGAATGATTTTCCCAACGAAAGGGCAGCCGTGGTCTGCGGTTGTGAGGCTGGTTGGACGTACTGCCTAATTCTCTAAAACAACGTTGGATGGTAAAGAAATGAACATTCAATTCTCTGGTAACAGCTCAGGTGGACATTCCTGCAGTTAGTGTGCCAATTGCATGCTCCCTCAAAACCCGAGACAACTGTGGCATTGTGTTGTGTGACAAAACTGCACATTTTAGAGTGGCCATTTATTGTCCCCAGCACAAGGTGCACCTGTGTAATGATCATAATGTTTAATCAGCTTCTTGATATGCCACACCCGTCAGGTGGATGGATTATCTTGGCAAAGGAGAAATGCTCACTAACAGGGATGTAAGGTTTTTGTGTGTATGAAACATTTCTGGGATTTTCTATATCAGCTCATAATAATATACATGAAACATGGGACCAACACTTTACATGTTGCATTTATATTCTTGTTCAGTATAACAACACTTTTGGCTGTACTACGAGTGGTCTGAGGCAGTTGGTAAATAACAAGGGTTTTCAAGTGCAACTTTAACGATGGTTTTTGGGAAACTACTCAGCGATTTAAAGATGCTCCTACAACGGTTCTAACGGTGAACTTAGCCATAAGATGCTTTTGGGAAACCGGCCCTGATCTGAATCGCATCCAAAACCTATGGCGAGATCTGAAAACAGCAGTTGGTGGAGGACACTGTAAAACACTGAAGAATTGGAGCAGAAGTTATCTTGGCCAAAGGCTGTGCAACCAAGTACTAGCTCCAGGGTGCCAATAATTATGTCCATGCCATTTTGTTCTAATTTTCCAAATTTAAAATAATACATTTAAGTTTACAAAAATAAAATAATTCTGCAATGTTGAAAATCCAATTACAAGATGTGGTGACCAAGTAAAAAAATGATGTTAACTTAGTCTAGAAAAGAAAGGTGGAACTATTTAAGAAAAGGGTGTCAATATATTTGGTCGCAACTGTATATCTACACATTACAATAGGATTTTACTCCATGGTGATGTCTACATAAGTTAGGCTAATTACATTTAGCTAGAGCAATAATTAATGATGTAATTAATGAATCATGATTAAATGAATCTGCTTTTTAACTGCTATGTCTTAAATGCATTGCTATTGCTTTTTTCCAGATTGTAGTGCCTCCCTTGCCTGGGAAGGCACTGAAGAGACAGCTACCTTTCCGTGGGGATGAAGGCATTTTTGAAGAGGCTTTCATTGAAGAGCGACGTGTGGGTCTTGAGCAGTTCATCAACAGGTGGCCCACAATTTACCAAACATTACAGAAGAGAAAACATACATTTTGACCTTGTAATTATGTGAAATAATGTGCAACAAAACTTTCTGAGTTTTTTGTTGTGGCAGTTTTGGAATTGTCTTCTGCTGGTGTGGGTAATTTAAAATGCATTCATTTCTAGACACCATTTTTGAAATGCACAGCCAGCTAGAGTTTTTATAAATTCATGTCTTTTTAATGCTGTTTTTTCTAGAATTGCAGGTCACCCTCTGGCCCAAAACGAGCGCTGTCTTCACATGTTTTTGCAGGACGAGAGCATCGACCGCAACTACATTCCCGGAAAGGTATGACTGTGGGGTTTAGAGTTGGGGTTGACAAAATGGGGTGTGGAAATGACTTTCTATTCTTCTCCCTCTTGTCGCTGCTCTGCTCATTTATTGTTATTTTTACACAGAGCTCTTTGCCATTCAAAGTAGTGCAGTACTTGTTTTATTTGATATTTTCTATACAATACTGTGCCTTCAGAAAGTATTCAGACCCCTTGACTTTTTCCACAATTTGTTATGTTACAGCCTTATTCTAAAATGGATTAAATGTTTTTTTCCCCCTCATCAATCTACACACAATACCCCATAATGACAAAGCAAAAACAATATTTTTAGATTTTTTTGATAAAAATAAATACAATTAAACTGAAATATTACATTTACATAAGTATTCAGACCCTTTACTCAGTACTTTGTTGAAGTACCATTGGTAGCGATTACAGCCTCGAGTCTTCTTGGGTATGACGCTACAAGCTTGGCACACCTGTATTTGGGGAGTTTCTCCCATTCTTCTCTGCAGATCCTCTCAAGCTTTGTCAGGTTGGATGGGGAGCGTTGCTGCACAGCTATTTTCAGGTCTCTCCAGAGATGTTCGATCGGGTTCAAGTCCGGGCTCTGGCTGGGCCACTCAAGGACATTCAGAGACTTGTCCCGAAGCCACTCCTGCGTTAGCTTGGCTGTGTGCTTAGGGTCGTTGTCCTGTTGGAAGGTGAACCTTCGCCCCAGTCTGAGGTCCTGAGCGCTCTGGAGCAGGTTTTCATCAAGGATCTCTCTGTACTTTGCTCCGTTCATCTTTCCCTCGAGCCAGATTAGTCTCCCAGTCCCTGCCACTGAAAAACATCCCCAGGTTTCATACAGACGTGATGCTTGGCATTCAGGCCAAGGAGTTCAATCTTGGTTTCATCATACCAGAGAATCTTGTTTCTCATGGTCTGAGAGTCTTTAGGTGCCTTTTGGCAAACTCCAAGCGGGCTGTCATGTGCCTTTTACTGAGGAGTGGCTTCCGTCTGGCCACTCTACCATAAAGGCCTGATTGGTGGAGTGCTGCAGAGATGTTTGTCCTTCTGGAAGGTTCTGCCATCTCCACAGATGAACTCTGGAGCTCTGTCAGTGACCATCGGTTCTTGGTCACCTCCCTGACCAAGTCCCTTCTCCCCCGATTGCTCAGTTTGGCCGGGCGGCCAGCTCGGTGGTTCCAATCTCCTTCCATTTAAGAATGATGGAGGCCACTGTGTTCTTGGGGACCTTTTTTAATGCTGCAGAAATGTTTTGGTACCCTTCCCCAGATCTGTGCCTCAGCACAATCCTGTCTCTGAGCTCTACGGACAATTCCTTCGACCTCATGGCTTGGTTTTTGCTCTGACATGCACTGTCAACTTTGGGACCTTATATAGACAGGTGTGTGCCTTTCCAAATCATGTCCAATCAATTGAATTTACCACAGGTGGACTCCAATCAAGTTATGGAAACATCTGAAGGATGATCAATGGAAACAGGATGCACCTGAGCTCAATTTTGAGTCTCATAGCAAAGGGTCTGAATACTTATGTAAATAAGTATTCTGTTGTATATTTTTAATACATTTGCAGAAAATTCTAAAAACCTGTTTACGCGTTGTCATTATGGGTTATTGTGTGTAGATTGCTGAGGATTATTTAAAAAAAATCCATTTTAGAATAAGGCTGTAACGTAACAAAATGTGGAAAATACTTTCCGAAGGCACTGTATGCTAAGTTATGTAGTAAGTTTACTGATTATATTTATTCTCTCTCTTTTGTACAGGTATGAATGAAGTAAGTTTTGACTTTTTATTGACACTCTAAAATCTCTTAGAAGGTTTAGATGATAGCATGGACACAATCATTAGTTTAAAAAAAGTGGTACGACTTTTCTGGACCCCTTATCCCAGGGGCTAAAGGTCCCGACGCTTCTGAGCATGTGCGGGATTCTCTGCTTACTCACAGTCTCTGCTCTACTCGTAGAGAACAAGCTACTCTGAATGGTGCTTGTTCAATAAAGTTAGATCAAAGCTGAATCAATGTCTGCAACATCACATTATGATAGTATTGTACATAACAGAATCGAATATAATAGCATAGTGTAACGTTACTGTAAGACAACTACTGCATTTCTTATGAGATTTTTAGATTGTGCGAATGGTCACTTTTATTTTTTTCTTCATGCGGGCACAAATCAACAGTGCGCGCCACTAGGCAAAATGTAGGCTACAGTTTTTATTAACGCCATCTCCTCCAAATTTGCGCACCGCACATACCGGTATGAAAAATGTATGCACTCACTAACTGTAAGTCGCTCTGGATAAGAGCGTCTGCTAAATGACTAAAATGTAAAATGTAATTCAAACAACACTGTACATAACCAAGAAGATCTTATGATATTCTTATTATCATATTCCCATGAAACTGATTGGGATCAAATGGTTGGCATGCAGATGCTGCATGGACATTTCACCTGTAAAACTTTAAGAATGATCATTCAAGATTGACCGTGAGAAATGTGAATGGAGGGTGACTACAAAAATTTATTTGTCAAGAAACGCATGCACAGAACATGATACAGATCTTTTCAGGGGGGCGGAACGGGACAGTTGCCTAATAATATAATAATAATAATTGGTCATTTAGCAGACGCTCTTATCCAGAGCGACTTACAGGAGCAATTAGGGTTAAGTGCCTTGCTCGAGGGCACATCGACAGATTTTTTACCTAGTGGGCTCGGGGATTAGAACCAGCGACCTTTCGGTTACTGGCACAACGCTCTTAACCACTAAGCTACCTGCCGCCTACAGAGCCGCAGTCTCTGCTCCCTCAAAAAAACGAATCAGACCTGACACTTTGAGGTTAAGCATTTCACAATTTTTGCAACATCTCTTTCAGTAATGGGAAGACTGATCAAATGTGACACAATTGTTTGGAATCCAGATCCAGTGATCCAGAGGCAAGATGTGCCTAACACAGACCAGGACCTGTCTGTTTTATCACCTCATCCCGATAAAGCATACAGCACCCTATCCCTGTCGTGGCCGCAACCACCTTTGACAGCTGCCTCTGTCTCTCTAATGCCTTGTACTGTATATAAAAGTATATTCTGCTAGTTGCCCCAGCAACAATGGTGCATGGCCCTCTGCAGCCCTGTAATGGGGGGGGTGTAGTCCAAGAACACTAAATGGGGGGTGTGACAGGGAAGTTAGTGCATTGTTGCAGATTGATATATATATATATATATATATCAGAGAAATAGAGTATGTTATCCTATCTAAGTATTCAATCATAATGTCTCTGTCCCTTCATACCCACAGTTAACCTACATTGATCCTCCAATTGTATGTTTCCCATCTCTGGATGTCAGTAAATGATGATACCTTCCAAAGTTAAGCAAAATGCAGCATAATTGAAAACTTTTTTTAAATGGGAGATTTGCTTCCCATAGTCTTCCTGTAACATGACATTCCATGTTTCTTTGCATTTCAACATGCTCTTACAGTGTGATTTTGTATTATGATTTTTTTTCTGTAACTTTGTTTGCCTTGAGTTGTTCTGCATAAGTCTTTGCGTTGTCTTCAGTCTGCTTATGGAAATGTAATGTCAGGTAATCAAACCACTGTGAAAACAAGGGGTTGACAAATAATCCACTCATTTTTATTGATAAAGCTTTCGGCATCAAGTTTATTGACCTAAAGCATTCTTAGTTATCCATTTTGTCTTATGTATTTTACCTCTTCATTATTATGTACACTTAATCATGCAAATTTCAGTTTTCAGAAAAACTGCCTTGTTTGTACTATCAATAAAATTATCTGCCTGCTGTGCAATGTCCAGTCGCCTTTTAAATGGTCTGTTCAAATTCATGTCAGGGGAAAGGTATGTGGTTCCTAATTGCATCTTGTACAGGAACATATTGTATATTTTCTGAGTTCCATTTTTTTTTTACTAGTGCATTTCCTTATGTGGCCAGCTAATTACGGAAGTAGAATGGAGTCTCTGTTCCAAGAGATTATCTTATGGAAATATAGTTCTTAGTCGAGAGCAAGTCATATTTTCTAATGAACCTAGTATTTTCCCTTCATAAGCATTTTCCAGCAATCACAGTCCTTGTATAAACGTAAACTCTTTGTATAACTAATAACTGAATAGGTCTGCGTGTTTTTACGATTACACTACATGGACAAACAAAGTGCTGTAGTTTGGGTGGATGTATGGGGTTACTTGTTAAACTTGAACCTCTTTCTTTTAATCTAATTTAGTAGCATACTCCAGGAATCAACAGGATTAACAGGGAGGAGGGAAATGTACTCAGGTGGATTAAATGTATCCCAGAAATAGCTTTTGATGTGTGCCTTAGTGCATGACTTAAAAAATCTGTAATAAGACACAATTGTCCCAAATAACCATCTGTTAAGATTTAATTGAATGTAGCTGTAAGACTAATAGGATTTTCGGCTCCTTTGTAGCCACCAGCATATGCAGTGGTCGCTCAGTTACTCTAGCCAGGGTATAAAATGTGGGTGGAGGAAATTATCTGCAAAGGGCTGTTCATGAACAACTATTGATAGGAACCAGGGATTGACAAAGTCTGAAAGGCACTTGCCCATCGGGCTAGTCAGGAGTATTTTTTTGGGTTGCCTGAAGATTATGATCACTGGCCCAGAAATGTAAATTAAATTTTTATATGCAGAGTACCATATTGCCTACCTTTCACCTATGCAGGAGGAATCAAAAAGATCACTACTGGAATTATTTGTATTTGGTTATCAGTAAAAAAATATATATATAATCTCAGAGCAGGCTCAATTTGCCTGTCTTTCACTTAAACAATGGGTAAGAACCAGAAAGATCAGTTTTAGGCTACTGGAATTATTTTCAGTTTGGTTGTTTTCATTATTATTTTTAACTCACCTGCCCAATGGGGCAACCTCGGAGCAGGATCAACTTGCGCGACTGCTCAGTTCACTTACCCCAGGCAAAGGGCAACCCTTAATGTCAATCCCTGGGAATGCTAGGGTTACAAACACTACACACTTTTTCATTCAAACATGCATTAATGTCCCCATGTCAAATTTCTTGGACTACAGTGCTATACAAAAACGATAATGTATGTGTGCTCATATCTGGTCGTGAAGTAGAGTTTAGCTTTTGCAGAACCCATGAAGAGTGCATGTTTGATGCCAATCGAGACTGACTCAGAATATCTACTGAAGGCAAAAACCCACAAGCCTGTCTTTGATCTCCAGGCCTTGTCCTGTGCAATGAAAGCAGACAGAATGGATGAGCTGTATGGGACAGCAGTGAGATTAGCAGTGTTATGTTAATGGCGCAGATGCAGATACAATCCCAGAACGTAAGGCTGTAGCCTGGTTTTCAGTGGTGATGCTTGTTTTATTTAGGGAGACATGCAGTTTTGCTAGCTTGATAAAGTGGAAGTTAATTGAAAGAGCAACTCCATGCTGGCCTCAAGGGAGGCAGATGTCACTGAGCAAGGACAATAGGTTGGGTATTACCCAAAGTTAAAGGGCAATTCCGCCACTTTTTAACCTCAGATTCATTATCTTCAGCACAATACCAGTGTCTACATATGTGAAAACGGCACTTTCTATGATCTGTGGTTAAAAAGATAAAAGGTTCTAATAACTGCTTCTCTGTAACCACGTTTCCATCCACACATTTTATACGAGTAAAATCATAGCGAAAATGGGAAAAAAAATCACAACAGCTGTGATGGAAACAGGATGTTTCGATAAAAATGTTTAAATGCCAACAGATAATTTGTTAGTTCGACATGGTGGGATCTTTTTGGGTTGGTAAAATTAATTATGTGAGAAATGGCGGTGGAAGCGCATTTACATGCAAATATTTATATAATAACCATCATATCGAAGTAAACTTGGAGTCACGTGACTCAGGAAACCATACAGTTTATTAGGCTAATGATAAAATAACTTATGAACTTCACAGGGTGGTGAAAGTGCACGTTGATCTTGATGCTCCTTTCCAATAAATATCTAGGGTCTTATTCTAGTGACATGATGATCGATGCTTGACTGATGTTTGAGAAATACAAATATTCTCGCTCTTAGGCTATCCATAATAATCTCATCATGTAGACTAGCCTACCTGCACTGTATCTGTGAGCTGTGGGCTAGAGCACAAATGCCAAGACCATAGTAGGCACATTTGCTATTTTAATGCAACAGTTTTCGTGACAAAACTATTGCTGGAGTTGAAAATGTGATTCAAACACATTGATCTTTAGATTTTTATTCGGTACATGAAAACTTAAGCGAAAGATACATTTTATGTGCACTACGTCATAATGCAGTGATTTTTATCCAGAAGTCAGTTTGGTGGAAACACACCACTGGTGGGAAAATGCGCATATTTTCTTTATGCAGTTTTTTAAATATACACATCAAAATCTGTCGACAATTGGATGGAAACCTAGCAAGTGACATCAAAAAGTAAGAAAAACAATGATTTTCAAAACCTGCAACGGGTTTCTAGCCAGAGGCAGGGTATTTTCTTGCTCCCCAAATCACCGTAAATCTCATAGTGTTTGAAAATCACTCTTTAATATTTTTTTAAACTTTTGATGATGTCATCGGGTATAACCTTTTTTCTACAAAGTGTAGAAATTCACTGTTTTCACATATGTAGACACTGATATTGTGATGGGGAGATAATGAAAATGAGTTTGAAAGTATGAAAAAAATATATATATTCACTCACTCTGGATAAGAGCGTCTGCAAAATGACTAAAATCTCAAATGTAAAAATGTAGTTGCCCTTTAAACTCAATATATTACAGTAGAAATAATCATTGTGGGACATAATTAGTCAACACATTTTCAAATTGTGTTTTCTTCTTTCCTATCATGGTCTGATTGGTAGGAGTAATACCTCTCCTGTTATGAAGTTTGCATGCCCAGTGAGTTTTGAGGCCTGGGAAGGGCATATGTCATACCATCAGTATGGCCTCATTAAACACGGTCATTGCACCTCTAACACTCCACACAAGGGCATTGGGTGCAAAGATGCAGCGGAACTATTTTTTTTTTCTATTAATCTGGGTGACAAAGCTACAGTGGATATAGTGAAAAGCCCTTGGAGCCAGCTCAGTTGCTGGAGTGAAAGATCTTGAAAGGGGAATGACCCTCTCTTTCCATACATGGGTAAGCCTCTTTTGGCAATGGCACGCTGCCCTACTTTACACACAACGGGCTTGAATGGGCATAATGACTGCAAATCTCTCCTGGATTTGTAGTAAACCTTCTCTGAATTTAGCTTTAAAAAAGGTTAAAGGTCAAAATGCGGGTCTATCTTAATAGTTTTAAAAAGCTTCCTCTCCATGTTTCATTTCCTTAATCTGCACTGATGCGAAAGAACTTGACAAATGAAAGCATATTGCGTTTCACCTCATGTGTTTTGTGATCAGTGCAATTGGTGGGGGGAGGCGAATCGAGGAAGCCACTATGGAACACATGAATGGTTTATTATACGTCTCACTGTCTCCGCCCTCTGAAGAAAAAAAAGTCCACACACACACACAAGAGCTAGGAAAGCGGGATGTTTCATCAGCGAATGTGAAGTCAACTGTATTTTGTCGTCCTGTCGATCTTTCAAAGTTAAACCAAAGGTAAAGTAACCAACGTCATACATTTTTTAAATTGTACTGAAAAGTCTGTGTGCTTACGTTTCGATGTTGTGGTCCATGTGTTTGCCGAAACTGCACGAGACTCCGTAGTATTTTACTATGGCTAATTCTGACGCAATCATACCCGCGCGTTACAATCATAATAACGTTAGCTAGCTACTATAACGATACTTTATATTTAAAACAATACATTACTGGTTATGTTTTTAGGGATTGGAATACTCATTGGCTGTGTTTCTTTGTTTGAAATAAATAGTTAGATGGGTACCTAACATCCAACAGTACCAGTACCATTGCTGGTTAGGCGGTTGATGTTTTTAGCGGGGAACGTTAACTTAGCCAGTTAGCATATTGGCTATAAATGGTAGCTAAACTAGGTATAACCTAAGATGTGCCGTTTAAATCCATGTTGCTGCAACTAACTAAACTATCTTGCCGTGTGTAAAAGCTTCTGTGTGCTTTCATTCATTGCTTTGTTTGCTAGCTCGTGCTAGCTATCAAACAAAGTCTTAAGTCAATTAACATTATCTAGCTAACAAGGTATCTAGCTAACTAACGTTAGGTAGAAAACTACACATCAACGAACTGTAGGTATGCATGTGTGCAGCCTGTACTATCTAAGGGTGGGTAGGTAACTAGTTAGTAAACCAATCATAAACAACTTTTATAATAGACAAGTCTAGCTAGTAACTATACAGTAGACGGGTCCTTGGCTTGACTGTTGTCCTGCTGCTGTAACGCGTTAGATGCATAACCGCCTTTTAATGTATTGCGTCAGCTGTTGCATCAGCTTGAGCTCGCTAGCTAGCAGCATTTTATAGTTGCTGCTATTAACTAGCCACAACTGTAGCAAAAATTGTTCAACGTTATATTCAATGTGAGGACTCCTTGTCTGTGTGTTGAAAGGTTTTCTTGTTTGCCCTCTGTCTCATGTCAGACAGTTGTTCATGGATCGGTAGCCCAACATGTACTCTTAAGGAGCCTAAGTTTACCGCGTTACTTAGTAAGTGTTTGATGTTCAGGTTGGTCATCATGCAGAGGAACATTTTGTTTTATTATAGGGGGGTTCTTTGCATCAGCTGACTCATACAAGGGGTCACTTTTTGCATTGAAGGCATTTATTTGATCACCCTAGTATTCTAAACTGATGGATGGAAATACACATTTGCTTGTTATGGTAATTGCAGGGAAATTTTCTGGAAAATGTTCAGGGGAAATTTGCCCCAAGCCCTGTGTAGACTGGTCAGTGGTCTTGGCGGATGCAGAGGCATTGGACATTGAGAAAGGAGGGAGGGACCCTGTTGGCTCGGTTCCAGTGGCTTGAGGAGTTGCACAGTTCACTCATAGCAGTAGGCATATGTCCTTCTTTGACTAGAAAACGGATTGCTTCATAGCGTCAAAAAGCTAGACAACTATTGACTGTCTGTGATGCATGAAATGTGCCGCCCATCACATAGCTCCAAGGGTGACCTCGCCCACCGAGATTAGAAGGCTGAAAGGGCACTCTTCCCCACAACTGCACCAGCCTATTCAAAAGTATCCACTCCCCCAATGAACATATGACACAGCCTATGAAAGGGGCACGAAACCCCATGTGTAGGTGTTAAAATAATTTCCTTATGTGTGCTTAAAATATTGAATCTACTGTGACTGTACCCAGAAATTGCATGGTGAATTAGGTCTATAATCAATAGCCTAACTGTTAAATGTGCTTTGTAAACCATCCATATACAGTGCATTCGGAAAGTATTCAGAACCCTTGACTTTCGACACATTTTGTTACGTTACAGCCTTATTCTAAAATGGATTAAATTGTTTTTTCCTCTCATCAATCTACACACAATGCCCCATAATGACAAAGCAAAAACAGGTATTTTGAAAATGTTATGAAAAATAAAAAAACAGAAATATTACATTTACATAAGTATTCAGACTCTTTGCTCAGTACTTTGTTGGGTATGACGCTACAAGCTTGGCACACCTGTATTTGGGGAGTTTCTCCCATTCTTCTCTGCAGATCCTCTTAAGCTCTGTCAGGTTGGATGGGGAGTGTCGCTGCACAGCTATTTTCAGGTCTCTCGAGAGATGTTCAATACCGGGCTCTGGCTGGGCCACTCAAGGACATTCAGAGACTTGTCCCGAAGCCACTCCTGTGTTGTATTGGCTGTGTGCTTAGGGTTGTTGTCCTGTTGGAAGGTGAACCTTCGCCCCAGTCTGAGGTCCTGAGCGCTCTGGAGCAGGTTTTCATCAAGGATCTCTCTGTACTTTGCTCCGTTCATCTTTCCCTCGATCCTGACTAGTCTCCCAGTCCCTGCCACTGAAAAACATCCCCACAGCATGATGCTGCTACCAGCATTTGTCACTGTAGGGATGGTGCCTGATTTCCTCCATATGTTATGCTTGGCATTCAGGCCAAAGAGTTCAATCTTGGTTTCGTCAGACCAGAGAATCTTATTTCTCATGGTCTGAGAGTCCTTTAGGTGCCTTTTGATCAACTTACATTTTTTGAAGAATACTTTTTGTCATAGGCCTGGCTGGCTTTCATCCACTTTAAACGTGTGCTTGTCTGAGGTGTCGGACTCAGTTGCTATCAATTGGAGGGCTGCGATTGGTTGGCCAAAATTATGGGGTGGGGCTTGGCATAGGGTCAATTTTGGGGAGGTGCGTGTATCTATGTGAAAATGGGATACCGGACTATCACATTTCAGCGTCTGTGGCCTTACTATGATTTATGCTTTAGGCCTAAAGAAATTACTGCCTATAAAAACGTGTATCTGATGGGATACACAAACACAAACTGTAGACAAGCTACATTCCTTGCCAAATCACGACAGCTTTATTTACGAATAAAAAATGGACTGGTTGATATAAAGTAGGGAAATATGTGTTACACTCACGAGCTGCAGTTTTGAAATATTAGATACATCTCATCTATTTTAGTTGTTTTTGAGAACTGTTATAGTGTGCCATTTAGAATAGGTTACAATCCCCCTAAACCTAGGCAGGTTCCAGACTGAAATATGCACAAACATTGTTTTGATGAAGACCAATAGCATATTCATTAGTGTATGGGCCTACTTTTTTTTCTTGTTTAATTGACAAAAGCCTGCCCATCAAGTTTAAGCTCACAAATCAAACACGGCAAATACGCTACATCTCAGTTTAAGATACTGACTTTATGACAAATGATGCTATTTACACTTGTTTTTGACTAATATCAATGCAACATCGGCCCTTTTGAACCAGAGAAGTTGGTTTTTGAGTTCAGCTGCCTTTTTAATAAGTATTATCTTAATTGTGTGTAATTGTTTGTATAAATTTAGTCCATATACATGTATTTCAGTGTCTATAGCTAGGTTTCCATCCAATTGGCAACAGATTTTCATGCAAATGGTGTCAAATACGCATAAAGAAAATATTTGCTTTTTCCCACAAGTGGTGTGTTTCCACAACGGACTTATTGAGGATAAAAATCAGTGTGTGATGACAGTGCACATAATGTACTTTTTTCACTTAAGTTTTCATGTACCGAATAAAAATCCAAAGTTCAATGTGTTTCCATCGCATTTTCAACTCTATCGATAGTTTTTTCACAAACTGTTGCGTAAAATAGCAAATGTGCCTACTCTGGTCTTGGCCCTGGTGCTCTAGCCAACAGCTCACAGATACAGTGCGGGTAGGCTAGTCTACATGATGAGGTTTATTAGAATTTGTTGTTGTTATTATTATTATGGATAAGAATATTTTTATTTGTCAAACGGCAGTCAAGCATCGATCATCAGACCCTCGATATTTATTGGAAAGGAGCATCAAAATCACAGTGCACTTTCACCACCCTGTGAAGTTCATAAGTTATTTCATCTCCAGCCTAATAAACTGCATGGTTTCCTAAGTTGCAGTGAAAGGCCACACACCATATCATTGCGTGACTCGGTTATGATGGTTATTATATCAATATTTGCACATAGGCGTTTATACGACCATTTCTCGCATGATTTAATTGTACAGACACAGAGATCCCACCATGTTGAACGAACAAATTGTACCGAAGCGTCCTATTTCCATCATAGCTGTTGTGATTTTTTATATAAGGTATGACTTTACTCCCATAAAAACTGGATGGAAACTGCCATGTGGGAATAAAAAAACGTGTACTTAACAGTGAGCAGGAACACTAACCAATAAGGGAACCCACTCTTTCCACTTACTTATATAGTATCATAAGTTAGCTAATGATTAGGGCCTAGGTCTTAAGTTTTGTTTATTTCATATGCTATCTTTCAGCACTAGGAAGCTTAGGTCACCATGATCACAAACTAGGCTAATCATAATAACGTATCGTTATGGCAGAGTTGGGGCTAGACAATAAGTAAACAGACCACATGTTGACAGTGAGTCAAAACAAAAACATGCTTTGTGTGGAGTGAACAACAGTCCATAATGAGATTCCGGTCTAAGATAATCCTCTTAGACTGTTGCAGCATGTGCTCTGGAAAAGCTTAGTGAGGCAAATAATATACAGTATCTACGGAACCTTCCGGGGGGGGTTTACTTGTGTGCTGGGAGACCTAGTAAAAAGCACCTTAACATAAGCCTAAATGCAATCCATATGGTATTAGGTAGTGATACCATGGCTCTCTCTTGTCCCTCTGCAGCAGACATATGGTGAGCAATGTTTGGAACATCCAATCTCAATAATATCACAGTATCGAATCGCAATACATATAGAATCGTGAGAATCTCGATGCATATAGAATCGTGAGATATTGTGATAATATCATATCGTGAGGTCCCTGGCAATTCCCAGCCCTAATATTAGGCCAATTAGCCTAGGCTTAGTTTTTTTTAATGCTCTTTAAATAGGTCAGTGGAAGTAGTCCTGCACATTGTATACTATAGGCTACCTATTCCAGAAAAGGGCAGAGTGACACAACCCTTTAGCCCTGGAGGTTGGAGCAGGTCTAATTGAGCTTTCAGGCAGTAGATTAGAGGAGCCGAGTGTTAGCGTCTTCACAACCTGGTCTGAAACCGCCGCTGTTTCAGAGGCCAGCCACCCTCGTGAAGACCACAAGGAAAAGATTAGCCTAGTTGGTCTGGGTGACGCAGGGTGGCCTATCTCCAAAGCTTACTGTGTGGGCCGAACAAAACAGACTAAAACCTCTCAGGCGCCGCACATTAATCGCAGGCAGGGAGACTCCCAGAGTGAACCTTTCCCAGGGCCAGAGATGATGCCTGCCCGCCTGCCTCTAAAAAAGCAAGTGCAACTCTTCAGGAGAGCAGACCCAGTATCTGTTTCAGCATGTCAGTCTTGCATAACTATTCAGTTGTTCAATTATAACCCCTAGAGAGCACAGCCATGCTGTGTAAGTTTTAATACACTGGTTTAAGTTACAAGGTGGATATGCCAAGCCAATGCAGACTTCAATAAGGGAAGCCGTTGTGTGTGTGTGTGTGTGTCCAAGGACAGGATGGACTATAGTTGGCTGCACCATTCTGATCCAATCACGGAGGCTAGCCCAGACTGCCCGATCAAACCAGCATTGGCTATTTTCCCTGTAGACAGTTTGTGACAGTAACTACAATGCCTGATACATGAAAGTTTGTTATTTTTGAACAATTGTTTTAATTTCCCATTACCTTCAGAGGCCAGGGGATATGTTTATTTTATACTGACATTCCTTTTTTTGTTCTGTGTTTGCAAATTGTTTTCTCAATAACCTTCCGGTGATTGTGCACAGTGTTCTATGGATAACAACATGTAGAATGGGCTTGAAACCGTTTATTATTATTATTATTAGTTGGCTATTATTATAGGTGTTACAGAGGCTAAGTTACACCTCCAAGTCTCCAACCTTTTGTGGAGTGGTTGTGGTGAAGAGGCAGTGTCTCATATCTCAAATAAGCAGTAGCCATGATGACCTTACGGTTGGTCAGCACAGGGACCAGGCGTTCTGTGCGACGTGCCTAATGTCAACATGGAGCTGTGTGGACAGCTGCTGCCAGTCAGACAAGGTCATGTGACCAGAGCTTAGGAGGTGGTTGTGTGTGAGTGTCTTGCAGTCTGCCACCTGCACAGATAGAGATGCTGTCTGTCCTTGAGCTGAAGGGCCCTCGATTTGGTGTAACTGGCGCTATCATTATTATCAGTCAGCCTGCCCCTAGAGATACCAAAACACTACATTGCTGACGTGAATGCTACGATTTGTTGTAGTCGTTACACAAGATTGCCGAGAAGAGGTTTTGCTTGAAACTTTGCAGCGTTGGCACTTTTGTGGGACATGCTAGTTGTAATACAAAGTGGGATACCAATTTGAAGACTTCTAACACTTGAGTTTACATTGATCTACTGCATACATTAGGCCTAGCTCTTAGAGGAATGCAAATGAACCTTGTGACAGTGTTGAACTTTGATAATGTGAAAAAGGTGGTACAGTATAATAGGCTACGGTTGTTTCTGATGACTAAAGGTGGTCAGCATGTGGGCAATTCCATGGTAAAGGCATTACGCTGAGACTCAGATTTTTCACTTTAATATGTATACCAATAGCAACATGCTGTTCCTTAGAATAATGTGTGGTTTGGTTGTCTGGAAACCTGCATGAGGGGAATTAAAACATGGACCAAGTCCCAAAATGGAAGAATTACTGGAATTACCTGAGTAGGAGGAACCGATACTAGTGTTGCATCACACAGAAATGTAATGTATCGACTTGACCAAATATGCACACGAGCTAATCAGTCAGTTCGTTATCCCAGAGACAGATGGTTTGCAAACAAGGGATCCACACAAAACAATGTTTTTTAAAACTACACTTCGTCAGCAACAACAACTAGCTTAAATGTAGCCTATTTTCTCACATACTCACTCATTAATCTGCTTCCCCTCTGTTTGATCTCAGGATCTCTCCATCTCAACTCTTCACTGCTCTGCTCAACAACTCCTTCAGTTTCGCAGCTCCAGCTCCCTCCACAGACACAACCATGGTAGACAAGATGGCCTCCTTTGGCCTGATCTTGTTGCGACGCAGGGCACTGGACTGCTCCGATGAGGGAACCCGCTTCGCCCGCTGCCTCTCCACACTGGACCTGGTGGCCCTGGGGGTGGGCTCCACATTAGGGGCAGGGGTGTATGTCCTGGCTGGCGAGGTAGCCAGGGAGAAGGCTGGTCCTGCCATCGTACTCTGCTTCCTCATCGCTGCGCTCTCCTCCATGCTGGCCGGACTCTGTTACGCCGAGTTTGGTGCCCGCGTACCCAAGACAGGTTCGGCGTACCTTTATAGCTATGTGACGGTTGGCGAGATCTGGGCCTTCATCACGGGGTGGAACCTCATCCTCTCCTATGTCATCGGTGAGTTAGTAGATTGAAAATTGGTGACATTTTCAAAGGCTTTGCATTGAGCTACTATGTTCATAGTGGCTAGTTTCTAGTCTCCCTTATCCTCTTTTAGTTTGGTTGATGTTTTCCATGATGTGAACTTCTTCTCCTTGGTCCTCTGTCCTTTAGGTACAGCCAGTGTGGCCCGAGCCTGGAGCTCTACGTTCGATAACCTGGTGGAGCAGAAGATATCCGTCTTCTTCAGGTCGTCCATGGCCATGAAAGTCCCGGGGGGCGTGCTGGCTGAATACCCTGACCTGTTTGCACTCATCCTCGTCCTCTTATTAACTGGTGAGGACTTCAGCATTCAGTCAACCAAAATGTAGAATGCTGGGGGAAGCAGGACATAAGTTATTCCCTCATCGTAAATGTACAGTATTGTAATGTACACATGCATAATGTGACTTGATTTGTGGTAATAATGTCATACTGTTGCTTCTTCCAGGGCTGCTGGCGTTTGGCGTGAGTGAGTCTGCTCTGGTCAATAAGATCTTCACAGGGATCAACCTGGTGGTGTTGGGCTTCATCATCATCTCAGGCTTTGTGAAGGGAGACGCAGCCAACTGGAACCTCTCCTTGGACAACTTTGTGAACACCTACCCCAACCCTGGCATCAACACCAATAGCACCAACACTTCCAGCATATCCCAAGAGTGAGTCCTTCAATACAGATTGATACCGGCTGAGATTTAGCCAGAGATTCCATTATAGGTCACCGGTATTGAGTAAATCATGCTTTCATGTGTATAGCTGTGTTTACCCTGAATTTGGTTTCAGAAATATAACAGTAAAACCGTATAATTGACGTGCCTCCTCTCTGTCCCTCAGGGTTGTGGATAAGACGTTTGGCACAGGTGGTTTTGCGCCATTTGGCCTCAGTGGCATTCTGTCTGGTGCTGCCACCTGCTTCTATGCCTTTGTGGGTTTCGACTGCATCGCCACTACAAGTGAGTTATGTACTGTGCTCCAGAGCGAAACATTAGATAGGTCCACCTCGTTTGTTCTCAATAGATTGAGCGTTCACTTACATTCCATTCATCAAAATGTCGCTTTTAAAATGGTGGAATGTATAGTTCTCTTTGGTGGTCCTCTCTCATAGTTCCAGACAAATAATTGTATTTTCCCCCCCTAGGCGAAGAGGCTAAGAACCCCATGCGCTCCATCCCCGTGGGTATCGTGGCCTCTCTGCTCATTTGTTTCTTTGCCTACTTCGGGGTGTCTGCGGCCCTCACCCTCATGATGCCCTACTACCTGCTGAACACCCAGAGCCCCCTGCCAGAGGCCTTCAGCTACGTGGGCTGGGCTCCTGCTCGCTACATCGTGGCAGTGGGCTCCCTCTGTGCTCTCTCCACCAGGTCAGTTAGGCTGCTAGACCGCGCTACTGCTACTGTTCTGTAGCTCCCTTGTCTTCTACGCTAAAGTCCGCAGTACTTGACGTTCTTGTTATGCTATCGAATGCTCTGTTTGTTTACTTGTATGTAATGTTGGTTTTTGTTGTCGTCCTAGCCTGCTTGGGTCCATGTTCCCTATGCCGAGGGTTATCTACGCCATGGCAGAGGATGGGCTCCTGTTCCGTGGCCTGTCACGCATGAACGCTCGCACCAAGACCCCCCTGATGGCTACTATCGTCTCTGGCTGTGTGGCATGTGAGTTCAGCCCTCCACCCTCTGTTCATTCATCTTGTTCTGCGCTACTACCTCTGGGTTCCACTGTAGTCAAGTCCTGCTGTTTCCTATGTTTGTGTTTATGTATGAAACTATGAATGTGCAGCAGGAGGGAAGCCTGTAGAAATAGACCCTTTGATCAGTGGAATGCTTTTAAACATTTTTCTTTGTTTTTCAATGCCGGAATAACTAGAGTAAATAACCAACTGAATGGATGTCGATTGTCTTTTATATAGTTAGTATGATGGTAATGCTCATTGTCCCCTCTCCTTGTAGCTCTGATGGCCTTCCTCTTTGACCTGGCTGCCCTTGTTGACCTCATGTCCATAGGGACACTGCTGGCCTACTCACTAGTGGCCATCTGTGTGCTCATCCTCAGGTGGGTGATGACTTATACCACATACTTTTCTATTTTTAAATATACTATAATGCCTAACACAGCATTTGTGGTATTGCAATTGTGATTGGTCTCCATTTATGTGGTTTGCTTATCGTATTCGACATTCTCAGTGTGAGTACCTTTCATGGTCCAGGAAACTGACCTGCTCTTCCCTCCTGTCCATGTGTGTCCAGGTACCAGCCAGGCACCCTGAGCTCGTCCAGTCAGAGTGAGAAGCTGGTGGAGCTGGTGGGAGGGGAGAAGGTGGCCGTGTCCAGTGGGGACAGTGGAGATGAGTACGGCCTGGATCTGGAGGACCGCCCCGTCCGGGAGAAGTTCACCCTCCGCCGCCTCCTCTTCCCCAGCGGGAATCTACCCACTAAGATCTCTGGGAACATCGTCTATGCCACCACGGCCATTATCTGTGAGTGACACCTCTTCTCTTTCTCATTCACTTATGCTGTTGTAATGCGGTTGACCATGGGTTGTTTTCAAAGCGGCTCTTTTTAGAGAAAGCACATTTTGACTCTCTTCGTCCTCTCTAGCGGTGCTCATCACTGTGCTGTGTGTGGTGCTGGCGGGGAAGCTGGATGCGTTGATCGAGGTTCAGCCTGTGTGGGTGATGGTGTGTGCAGTGCTGGCCTTGCTCTGTACCCTTTGTGTCATAATCATCTGGAGGCAACCCGAGAGCAAGGAAGCCCTCACCTTCAAGGTTAGTTTCTGGATACTTATTTCATTTAAACAGGTTCGTTGTTTTGTTCATGGCTTAAAACCAATTCATAATACAACTTCTATGCAGTAAAATAACTAACCTGTCTCTCTCCCCCCCTCTAGGTGCCCCTGTTGCCTTGGCTGCCTCTGTTCAGTGTCTTTGTCAACATCTACCTCATGATGCAGCTGGACATGGCTACGTGGTGCCGCTTTGCTGTGTGGATGGGCATTGGTGAGTTAGATTACATTATGCAGGAAATGTTTCTAGAATCACATGTTAAAGATGGAATCCGCAGTAGGGGAAACAGTCCGCCCCACGGTCAATGTTTTTGTTTTGTTGGCAAAGCAGAGGTGAGGCTCATCACCCAACGTGGTAAAAAAAATGGCAGTACATCTGATGTTTTATCTCTCGTGCAATGATGTCCGGGGGGGGGGGGGGGGGGACAGTGTTCATTGTTTGCAGTAACTTTGTTGTAATATCGCAAACGGACGTGGCAGTTTGACCATTAAGGATTCCCCCTTTTTTAAGTCAGTTTCTGAGCAGCAGAATGTTAACTTAATTCCTCTCTTTTTCTCTTTCCCTTAGGATTCGCAATCTACTTCTGCTATGGGATCTGGCACAGCAGCGAGGCAGCCAGCAACACCCCCCGGAAATATGAGCCTGCCCTCCAGACCAAGAAGAAGCCCATCTACCTGGGGGGAGACGAGAGTGAGGTGGAGGGGATGAGCCCCTGAAACGGCTAGGGGCTGGAGGAAACCCCACACATTATACCTCTGAAGTGAAGGCAGACAATTCAACTCACCCTGCAGTGTGTGTCTCTGGATTTTGTTGTCTTTCATTTTTGGGAGATCTGTCTTAACACTTTATTGGACAGTTGATGAGTAATATTTTCAACACTCAAAACGTTGCTACTAACATTACTAGTGATTTTTATTTCTTAGCAGTTAGTCTCTTCCTAGTTGGTGGCTGTGGCCCCTCCAATCATTAGCCCCGGGCCTCCAGCAGCATTATGAACTACAGCTGTACAGGATCTGTTGGTTAGGGGCGTGTGTATACAGGGTACCAGTGTGTCTGTGGGATTTACAATCTTGGTCAGGGCCTCGGCGCACTTGGTTAGTGTATCAAGGCCTGACGCAGGCGATTTGGGATCACTGGCGTAGACAAACTGTCCTCCACCTGTCAAAGAGCAACGTATTTAACAGTAGGACTTTGTTCACCTAGTGTCATACATTTGTCTTTTAAACGTATGGTAAAATAGTCAAAGTAAGGATGTAAGTTGTCATTTTCATGTTGATTTAAGTCCCTGTGTTACTTAAGCAGTATATGCCTGAGGTGTATCCAAAGAACTGACGGGTGAGGTAAATCAACCCTCGGAGGGTGATAAAGCAACATCCCAGCACCTCTGCACCGTCTGCTGAATCATCTTCATTTGGTATCATAATTCGGGGTGTTCTATACTCTTGTACCCCCACCCTTTTATGTATTTCTATTTATCTCTGGAGTTTTGATTTACAAATCAGAGCTACCCTTTTATATGGAAATACTTGAGTTTGAGTTATCTGCCTCAAATGCTTGAGCTGTCTACAGATGTAGATATAACTGTTAAACAAAGAAATACCCGTAGGATCTAGACAATGCGATGTTTTGAGTCTTTAAAGGCAGTGATTTTAGTCCTGGTCATGTATTACCTCTGATTTTACTTTAATTGTAGCTTCTTGTGAACATATTTTCACAAACATTTTTAGTTTCCATTGAAACTTATTCTTGGCAGCTTGGCTGTCGAGTTTGCATAATTCTTTTATCTATCTATTTTCCTGCTATGCCATTCAAAAGACTTTAATCAAGTAATGTGCTTTTATAGATGTGTTTGTGTTCTTACATGTATTACCCCCTTGCTTTAATGTGTTACTGTATATAGCAACTTTTGCTTCACCAAATAATTGACACGTCTACTCGTGATTCTATTCGTCAATAGTCACTAGTTGTAGCACTGCTTGACCAAATGACATTGTGCTTTGGAGACACTGGTTCAAGAACAGGAGTATGACCAGCAAAAACGGGCCTCTAAATTTGAACTAGATTTGCTCAGCTGCAAAGACACTGGAGATGGTGAGGATCGTTGATAGATAGGGTATTGTAGTACATTAATAACTGTAGATGTACAGTATGTGTATAGCTGTGTTTTATTTGTATAATGCTGTATATTATACAAATGGACATCCATTAAAAGGATATGTTTTATAGTTGTGCTTCTTGGCATTAGTTTTAACAACATTGTTTCTTGAGGGCTTGTAAGACATCTCCAACAGAAACTGGTTCCTAAAAATACAGACCACCTCAAAGATCCCACTGGTTGGTAAACCAAGACAGGTTTTATATACTGTACTGTAAATGCACTACATGACCAAAAGTATGTGGACATCTGCTTGTCGAACATCTCATTCCAAAATCATGGGCATTAATATGGACTTGGTACCCCCCCTTGGCTGCTGTAACAGCATCCACTCTTCTGGGAAGGCTTTTTCACTAGATGTTGGAACATTGTGCAGGCCAGTCAAGTTCTTCCACACCAATCTCGACAAACCATTTCTGTATGGACCTCGCTTTGTGCACAGAGGCATTGTCATGCTGAAACAGGAAAGGGCCTTCCCCAAACTGTTGCCACAAAGTTGGAAGCACAGAACCATCTAGAATGTCATTGTATGCTGTAGCGTTTAAGATTTCCCTTCACTGGAACTAAGGGGTCTACCCCGAACCATGAAAAACAGCTCCGGAACAATATTCCTCCTCCACCAAACTTTACAGTTGGCACTATGCATTGGGGCAGGTAGCGTTCTCCTGGCATCCGCCAAACCCAGATTTGTCCGTCGGACTGCCAGATGTTGAAGCATGATTCATCACTCTAGAAATCGCGTTTCCACTGCTCCAGAGTCCAATGGTGGCAAACTTTACACCACTCCAGCCGACGCTTGGCATTGCGCATGGTGATTTTAGGCTTGTGTGCGGCTGCTGGGCAATGGAAACCCATTTCATGAAGCTCCCGGCGAACAGTGCTTGTGCTGACGTTGCTTCCAGAGGCAGTTTAGATCCCTGTAGTGAGTGTTGCAACCGAGGACAGACTGTTTTTACGTGCTACGCGCTTCAGCACTCGGCGGTCCCGTTCTGTGAGCTTGTGTGGCCTACTGCTTCGCGGCTGAGCCGTTGTTGTTCCTAGACGTTTCCACTTCACAATAACAGCACTTACAGTTGACCGGGGACGCTCTAACAGGGCAGAAATTTGACGAACTGACTTGTTGGAAAGGTGGCATCCTATGACGGTGCTTTGTTGAAAGTCACTGAGCTCTTCAGTAAGGCCATGCTACTGCCAATGTTTGTCTATAGAGATTGCATGGCTGTGTGCTTGATGTTATACACCTGTCAGCAACGGGTGTGGCTGAAATGGCTGAATCCACTATTTTGAAGGGGTGTCTACATACGTTTTGTGTATATATAGTGTATATGCCTGTATAAATTAGCTGTATTTTCAATGTTCTTTTCTAAATAAAATGGTTGTTAATTGCAAATTCTATGCCTTTTGATTCTCGAGTTAATTCATTTATTTTGAAATGTTATTTTCTTGGCAGAAAATCTTATCAAACGGGGGGGGTGGGATACATAACCATAAAAACGAATTGCCCTCATCTACAGATCCACAACTTTTGAATGTTGCATGTACAGGTAACTGCCAAAATAAAGGAAACACCAACAAAGTATCTTCAGGGTGCTGAGCCGCCAGAACAGTTTCAATGCGCCTTGGAGGGATGCGAAACCATTCTCCAACGAGAAATTTCCTAATTTGGTGTTTTGTTGGTGGAGGAAAATGCTCTCTCAAGCACCGCTCCAGAATCGCCCATACAGTGCCTTGCAAAAGTATTCATCCCCCTTGGCGTTTTTCCTATTTTGTTGCATTACCTCTAATTTTAATAGATTTGTTTTTTTTGATTTCATGTAATGGACATACACAAAATAGCGAAATGATGTGAAATGAAAAAATTACTTGTTTCAAAAAATTCTAAAAAATAAATAACGGAAAAGTGGTGCGTGCATATGTATTCACCCCCTTTGCTATGAAGTCCCTAAATAAGCTCTGGTGCAACCAATTACCTTCAGAAGTCACATAATTAGTTAAATAAAGTCCACCTGTGTGCATTCTAAGTGTCACATGATTTGTCACATGATCTCAGTATATATACACCTGTTCTGAAAGGCCCGAGAGTCTGCAACACCACTAAGCAAGGGGCACCACCAAGCAAGCGGAACCATTAAGACCAAGGAGCTCTCCAAACAGGTCAGGGACAACGTTGTGGAGAAGTACAGATCAGGGTTGGGTTATAAAAAAATATCAGAAACTTTGAACATCCCACAGAGCACCATTAAATCCATTATTAAAAAATGGAAAGAATATGTCACCACAACAAACCTGCCAAGAGAGGGCTGCCCACCAAAACTCACGGACCAGGCAAGGAGGGCATTAACCAGAGCGGCAACAAAGAGACCAAAGATAACCCTGAAGGAGCTGCAAAGCTCCACAGCGGAGATTGGAGTATCTGTCCATAGGACCACTTTAAGCCGTACACTCCACAGAGCTGGGCGTTACGGAAGAGTGGCCAGAAAAAAGTCATTGCTTAAAGAAAAAATAAGCAAACACATTTAGTGTTCGCCAAAAGCCATGTGGGAGATTCCCCAAACATATGGAAGAAGGTACTCTGGTCAGATAAGACTAAAATTGAGCTTTTTGGCCATCAAGGAAAACGCTATGTCTGGCACAAACCCAACACCTCTCATCACCCCGAGAACACCATCCCCACAGTGAAGCATGGTGGTGGCAGCATCATGCTGTGGGGGTGTTTTTCATCGGCAGGGACTGGGAAACTGGTCAGAATTGAAGGAATGATGGATGGCGCTAAATACAGGGAAATTCTTGAGGGAAACCTGTTTCAGTCTTCCAGAGATTTGAGACTGGGATGGAGGTTCACCTTCCAGCAGGACAATGACCCTAAGCATACTGCTAAAGCAACACTTGAGTGGTTTAAGGGGAAACATTTAAATGTCTTGGAATGGCCTAGTCAAAGCCCAGACCTCAATCCAATTTAGAATCTGTGGTATGACTTAAAGATTGCTGTACACCAGCGGAACCCATCCAACTTGAAGGAGCTGGAGCAGTTTTGCCTTGAAGAATAGGCAAAAGTCCCAGTGGCTAGATGTGTCAAGCTTATAGAGACATACCCCAAGAGACTTGCAGCTGTAATTGCTGGAAAAGGTGGCTCTACAAAGTATTGACTTTGGGGGGGGTGAATATTTATGAACGCTCAAGTGTTCTGTTTTTGTTTGTCTTATTTCTTGTTTGTTTCACAATAACAAATAGGAAAAATGCCAAGGGGGGGTGAATACTTTCACAAGGCACTGTACTTGGGTGTTGCCAGCTGTGGGCTGGATTGAAATAATCCAACCCAAGGAAAATGTATGTACCCTTCATTCCGTGACATACCTTTATTTCCTAATAATCTTGCAAATCTCAGTTTTGAACGAGACTGACTTAATGACCCAATTTATCCTATTTACACTTTGTAGTCAATTTTGAAACTAGAATAAATGTTTCGGACTCCTATAGATGCCACATATGCCGTTTTCAACCAGAGAAGTTTTTTTTTTGATTCATTCGCTCTTTTAATTTGGTTCATGTGATGAATAT